ATTTCATAAAAATTGAATCAGTAGTTATAAAAATATTAAGGTTCAAAGTTGAGTAATTAAATTATTTACTATATAATATTTATATTAATTTTGATCAAATTTTATATAGTAAAATTTAAGAAATTATAATTGAAAAAAGTTATTATTAGTAAAAATTTTTTTTATAAAAGATATATAATAAAAATTTTTGCCTTTAAATAAATTCCAACACCTAATAACTTAATTAAATAAGACAGAATTAAAATTTTATTTTGAAAAAACAATCTATTAATGTTTATCTGAGGTACAAATCTTTTTGCACCAACCCATAATTAGTAACTGGAAAACTCAAAAAAGATGATTATAAAAAAAGATGACTATAAAGATGGGACTATAGAGAGGTTTGACTGTATTTTATCAAGTTCAAAATATTAATCAAAAGTATTTTAGAAAATAAGTAAGTTATTTTTTGGTTTTCTTTTTGATTTAAGGTAGATGCCCATTTTTTACTTTTTTATAGTTGACTGGCATAACGATAATAAAACAAATAAAATAAGCTCATAAAATCAGCATATAACGAAAATAAAACAAGTGCATAAATCAGGGCGTGCAAATATTTGAATACGTGAAAATGACATAATGATTTTGTTTATTATTGATGACTCACATGGCTCACAGTGGCATTTATTGTTATAAATCAAAAAAAATGAAATTACGATATAAAAACAGGCATTCGTATTCTTGGGTTCTCTCTAGTACCCTAGACACGGCGTAAAAAAGTTACTGTCACCTCATACGTTCAATTAAATGAATAATTTATCTAATATTCCAATATTTTCTTATTATATTAGTTAAAGAACAAAGAACTCGAATAAAACAATTAAGAAAAAAAGCAGCAAGCCTTTGCAATAGAGCGTCGGATCTCAAACAAGAAGTAATGATAAGAGGAAATTTGAAATTCAAATCGCACATAAGATGAATAGCATTTCGATTATGGTTAGTTAAAGTTATATTGAACAGATTATTGTAAAATAAAATTTTGCAAGGAAACATTTTTGTTGGTAGTTGTCATAGGCAAAATTTCAAGATACCCCCTTTTTTGTTACTCCCGATTATAAATTTAGACACTGGCCCGGAAAGATCGCGTGATCCAGCACTGTCCCGTGTATATAAATCATGTGATTTATGATCAAGGTGCATTTTTTATTTTAATTGAACAAAATAGAAAAACGGATATATAATTGAGACGAGTAAAGGAGCAATCCAGAAAATCCAATGATCTAAACACATTTTAGAATTACAAAAAGTTAACTTACTAAGGAATAAAAGTTGATTTATAAAATTATGTAATGCAATAAATAATAGATTACTTGAAAAATCTTCAGTTGCCACTGCGAATGCAAAACATTTTGCCGGATTCATTGAAGCGCTATATTTAACTAGAGATCAGTGCCGGTATTAATTAGAATGCATGATTAAATTAAAGAGAGATTTATTTACCCAGGCCATCCTGTGTGAAGTCCACCACTAAACCAGACAAAAACACCAAATGTAGTAGAAACTATAAATGCTATTGTCGTCAACCCGAAATCTTTTTTACGTGTCGGATCCAAAGCGACCGCAAACAATACAAGGGCTACGCCAAGGCAGAATATTGCTTCGCCGATAAACGCTTGAAAAGGTGAGAACAGTTCGCGATTAAATGAGCAAGATCCTAGTTTTGTGCGGGTAACACTTTCATCTGATGCGATAGATCGTATCAAGATTCCTCCAATTGTGCCTCCAGATAATTGAGCAATTATGTAAAGTAAACCACGTGGGAGAGACATTAAGTTTGTGGTCATTGTTGTGATGGTTAAGAATGGATTTAAGTGAGCGCCTGCGTCAAGAAATAATTAGATCAGCATGCATGTACACGGGAATTTTACTTTTATATGTACCTGAAATCGGTCCTGTAACTAATATTAACAACGATATTATTGGAATATGCGCGAACCCAATCAGTAACGAAGGAAGTGGGAATCTGTAAGATTCGTATAAAATTACATATCTATATAAACATTTATTTTGCTGCAGATTTACTACTCACGTTGAATCAGCAACAGCTACAACTGCAGCTCCAATTAAAAAGATCAAAAGAAGCGTTCCAAAAAACTCGGCAATGGCTTGCTGCCAAACTTTTAAGTTGGTAAATTCATTTAGGTTAAACATTCTTTTCAATTTAATCTTATCATCTTTATTACTATGTGATTTTTCGCCAATGTCAATCTTAAGTTGTTTCTCGTGATTAGTCTGCGCAGGGTCAGAATCAAGAGGATATGTGCTATTTGATGAATTATGATCATTCTTATTATTGTGATGAAATATATTTTCTTGTTCTTCGACTGTTTGGGTTTGCGCGAGAGAAAAAGAGATGATTGTGCTTTCGCTATAATGATTATTTAATTCTGGTAGTCGAATTTCGGATTGCATATTGAATTATTAATTAATATTATTGTTATTATTCTGAGAATTCGTAAATTAATAAGGTCAGGTAATAAAAAATTCACAATTTGATTCGTCTAATAGAGCTTTGAAAAAAAAGGAAGAAACGCGAGAAATCAAGTTATTTAAATGTTATTCCACAAGGCAAATCATCATATGCATGTATAGGCTTTGGTACAACAAATAACTTAATGGCGAATTTCAAATCGAAATGTTCACGTTTATTTTTCTTTTGTGCAATTTGTAATTCATGCATAATATAAATTAATTGATATTATTGTAAACAAGATTTCTCTATAGAGCCCTATATAAACGCAACCTATTCTATAACGATAATAAAAAATTTCATTTCATTACACAAGGTGATAATTGGATCTGTTATGACGCACCTAACATTATGTTTTTAACTGCAATAAATCCAATAGGTTTTTCTTAATCATATTAAATTTCGTATTGCATTTACTTCCTAGTTAGTTAAGTATATGGCGTTGTAAATATAACTGTACAATAATACCTCTTTATACTTACATTTGTCCACGCTCTGATAATTATAGAAAGATCTGGTTGCATTTTTTTTTACAAAAGTAAGAAAAGAATCTCAAAATCATATATCAACCAAAAAGTTAACATATCATCAACCAAACCTTCATGCATAAAGATAAATAATTATCTAATGGGAAAAAATATTTCTAATTCATGTATGCATTGAAAAAAATTGAGGTTATCGACAAATATTAACATAAATGAACTGATTGTCGTATTACATGTATTGATTATTAATTCACTGCATGCTGCAGTGAATTATTAATTATTTAATTTTTTACTGGGTATCGTGATTTACATGTGTTTAATATATGAATTTTTTTCGGTCCTTAGCGTAGATATATTTTCTAACGCAAATAGTAATCAGTTTTTCTCTCAATTCAACCAAGTAATTCTGATTTTTAGGATGCGATTTTTTGTCGCGATCTGAATGGAATCCAGGAATTTATTATTATTAGGACAATCTCAAAGATTTTTTATCAAAAGGCGCAAAAATCAGGATAGAATATATTGTCACTCGCACAGTTACTCTCTGCCAATAATAGCGATCAAACACGATCAGTGTTTACGGTAATCAACCTATTAAGTCTCATAGAAGAATTCCACAGAAACATTATGACCCGAGATTCACTCCTTAAAACACACGGTTCTACTATAATGAATCAACCTTTAAGTACTTTTGTTTATAAATCTAAAATACTAACGTAGCGGATAAAAGTCATCATACGCTGGTTCTAAAATAAAGAAAATTTGGTTGGGCTAAAAAACTCACCATAATCTGATGATGAAAGTGCAAAGAAGTTATTACATAGTGATGTCGTGTTTTACTGTATTAATAATATTAATAATATATACACATGTTGTGTCTCAGGTCGCTTCTTGTGCTAGATGTCGTTTGACCAAAATTAGAATAGGGATTCTACTAAAGTTAGAGTTATAGGGTTAGGGTTAAAGGCTGGGGGAGATAAATTAATGTTGATCGAAGGGAATCACATCTGAAACACAAACACACACGTTTTATTTACACTCTGTTAATAAAACTATATAAATCTTTTTAGGCAATATCTATCATATATAGAAGATTCATGTCTGCACGTATTTTTAATACAGTCCGCACGGAAAATAATGACGGTTAGTTTTTTTAAATTCAGATGCAATTTTTAAAGACAACTATGGTGCAGGCACTTCTAAAGACATCAAATACTGCCCCACTGCTGAAATTCTCAATGCATGTATTACGTAATATATTGGGGAGTTAATACCCTAGCCACGGCAAAAAAAAGTGTCGGATCATATGATTTTTTAAGGGGTAAAACAAATCAAATCGCAAGATTAATGTGTAATGGAATTATAATTAACAACTATTATTTATGATCTTGCGATTTGATTTGTTTACCTCTTAAAAAATTACATGATCAAACACTTTTAAGGTTTCGATCAATTAAATTATGAGCCAATCATGATTTTTAATTAAATATACGTGACCACACGTGAAATTTAGCCAATCAGAAATGCCCCTCTAACGCACTCTATTTATTATTGGTAATAAATTTCTAAGACATTTTCTATAAAAAATGCATTAGTTTATAGATTTTATTAAGACTATTTAATAATGCATTTTTTTTATCATTATGTTTTTATTTATAGAGCCTTTACATTTTAAAGTATTAAATGTCTTTAGAGGGCCTGCACCATATACAAAAAAAATTATCTATAATACATGAACTTTATAAAAATCAACACAGATACGTTTTCCTTCTATGTCAATGCAATTTGACATATTAAAAAAATCTTAAGAACTATAAGTAATAAATTCATTTCAATTTCTTTTCACAATTATTATAATATGATCAAAAACTAAATTAGCATTTTTTATTAATAGCGATAAGTAAAGATTAGTTGATTTGTAAAAATTTTTTTTTGCGCAACGGTAATCTTTTCATGATCGACTTTGTATCACAATTATCAAAATCTGCCCAGACATTGTGATTTACAATGGGCTGAAATTTTTTCGCCACTAGTTTTCCGTGCAATGCATTTGGGATATCATTTTCCAATAACGAAACGCCTATCGTTACCGTTTTGTTTGATTAATTTTTAATTCTTTGAAGAAATTCTCCGATTGGATTTGCGAATCATGTTTATCAACTAACTTGCCATATAAAGGTCTCTGCATGTATGGGGTTATAAAATGCAGTATTATAAAACAAAAAAAAAAATGGAAGAACATAACGACGACAATATCAATAAGAATATCAGAAGAAAATGGAAGTAGAACCTAACGACAACAATACCAATAATAACGATAAAATCACGGAAGTCAATGCCACTATCGCTATTAACGATGATAACAAGGAAATTAATACCACTAAGAATAAAGAAACTTTAAAAGAAGTGGTAGAAGTAGTAACAGAGAAAAATGACAAGTTGAAAAAAGAAAAAGCAGCCATGAGAAATTTTTATGTTATTGCTTGCGGATATTTGTTATTCACCTTGACAGATTCGGGATTACGAATGATTGTCCTGTTGGAGTTATATCAAAGACATTTTAATGTGAGTTTTAATTGATATATTATGAGACTGAATCAGGCAACGAAATGTCTTCAAAATTAATTACATTGAAACAAAATTTTTTCGCAATTAAGGCACTTCAAATATCCCTAATGTTCACATTATATGAATTTTTGGGAGTAATAACGAACTTGGTGGGTGGAATTCTCGGATCACGACTTGGACTTCGTTTTTGTCTGTTGACTGGGCTCATCACTCAAATCATCGGGATTGGAATTCTATGTGGTCTACAGCGTGACTGGCCACGAACAGTCGTAATCATCTACATAATAATCGCACAAGGATTTAGTGGCGTAGCAAAAGACATGGTAAAACTCGGCGGGAAGTCCGTCACAAAACTAGTGAAACACGACGACGACTTGTCAACGCATCAATCAGCATTGTTTAAACTTGTCGCCTACTTGACAGGTGCGAAAAATTCGATAAAAGGAGCTGGATTCTTTTTAGGAGCTTTCTTATTGAATTTTACCGGCTACATAGTAGCATTGGTAATCATGGCTGTTATGAATCTTGTGGTGATTCCATTCGCGTTGCTTTACTTGGACCGTACGTTGGCTGTGAGTAAGCGGCAAGAACCATTGTCGCTTAAAGAGGTTTTCAATAAAGGAAGAGATGTTAATATTTTGTCGTTGGCGAGAATGTTCTTATTTGGCTCGAGAGATTTATGGTTTGAAGTTCCATTGCCGGTATTTTTACGTGGAACAATTGGATGGTATTTTTGTTTATTCTCAATGTGATTCAATTGCAAAATCAAATACATGTAAATATATATGTATTATTTATCCAAAATTAGGTCATATATGGCAACTGGTGCATTGCTAGCGGGCTGGATTATATTTTATGGATTCATACAATCTAGCACACCACAACTAATCCTAAAACCAGCACACTTATACCCCATAACATCCGGCCGAATTCTCGTACCACTCACCATCATACTCTTAATTGTCACAATTCTAATCTCGCTCGCCACCACAGTTCTATCGACCACCACACAAACCACATTGTATCTCGGGCTATTAATAACCGGTCTATTTTTATTTGCGTTCATCTTCGCAGTGAATTCGTCGGTGCACTCGTTCTTGATTCTGGCGTATTGTCATCGTGATAAGGTGGCGATGAACGTCGGTTTCTATTATATGGCGAATGCGTGTGGACGGTTAGTCGGATTGATTGTCGGGGGTGTATTGTATCAGTATGTTGGATTGTATGCATGTTTGTGGACGAGCGCTGTGGCGTTGTTTATTTGTTGCATTGTGTCGTGGTTCTTGGGACCAGTGCCTGAGGAAGAAATAAAGGGCTTAGGAGACTGACATATATTCCCCTGCCAGAAATATTTTATATATGATTTATAATATTATAATTTATTAAGATCTGATATTGTATGATCCATAATTATAATTAATTTTGTCGCATAATAATAATTTTTCTTTATTCATTCTTTTACAAATAAATTTTACATTAAATTCCATTACATTATACATATCCTTTTTTTGTAAAAATTTCTATATAAATTCTTATTTTATGCTTTAATGACCGCAAAAACCTGTAATTAACGAATCGTAATTTGATAGTTGTGTAATAATGAAAACTGTATATATACGATAGCTCTCGAAGGCCAGAGAAAGGCAATGTGTGGTTGAAAGAAAAAAAAACTAATAAAATTATTTTTAATTTTTACCTAACTATGCTTCGGTTCTTATTTTTTTTGTGACGAAACGAAACTGATAACTTTATTTCTTTTGTGCTCTAACAAAATCGAAGATGTTACCTCTTTGCCATAAAAAGTTGATGCATTGGAATTATATTTATTATTTTATTCGAATATTATTTATATTATGTTAGTAAACGTGTGCAATTATTTTTGTTATTTGGATTTATATTTGTTAGTAAATAATTATTACGTTGTCAATTAAATCAAATATTTTATTTTAAACTTTACTTTTGCCCTTGACTGTATAATCTCCGTGAAAGATTGACACAGGAGACCTTTAGAACCCAGTAGACCCCATTTCGTGTAAATTATTCAGTCTAGCTCTTGACTCTTGTTGCATTTATAATTCGTTAGTCAATCTAACTTCCGAAATGAGTGTGACAATACAAGAATTAAGATCGTTCCGAATTTTCGGAATCACGGAACCTTTCGTCGTGACGGTTACTACTATTTAATAAATATTAGAGATTATATTTAATATTTTATTTATTTTATTCATTTTTACATTATGTCACCTTCTTATTGTTCACACGAATAATAATATCTGAGATAAATATAATTTTTGAATCACATTCACAGAACTATGTTATAATATGTTTGTTTGCAAAATTTTCATTGTTCAATTTTAGAAACACCAATATCATGCTTTAAAATGCTGGCGCCGTTAAAGAGTACCTACCCAATGAGACGAGTCCAGAGACACTAAATGGAAATCCAAATACTGCAGATACATGTATGCAATCTTTTATAACAAAACGTGAAAATTCATTTTGTAAATGAAGCCTACAATATCAAATAATGTCGTAAAGAGTGCAGATCTACTATTGAACTGCTGAGAAACTTTGAAGAATCTATCAACTATATTGATGGGGAGTGAAAACTGAACATTTTGCATTTTCCGTACTACAAATATTTAAGTACAATTGACACAAATGCTTTTTATTTTAAATAAGTCATTTTGGCATTTATATCAATAATAAATTTAAATTGATCGGATTTTAATCACTACAAGAATGGATATCTTACAATGTACAACCTCAATAAGAAAATGATAATTCCGTATTTCATTTTAAAACATTAGAGCTTCTGATAAAGTACAAACTTCAAAACTTTTCGTTATATTTATTTAATTAAGCACTGCATTTTCTTTTAAGTGAGTACGTGTACATGACATAAAATATAATTTTATTTTCGTTATCTTGATTCTGACAGTTTTTTTATATATATTAGTAAAGAACACAGTTATAACAAAACTTTAGACAACTCGAAGTCGGAATTTAGTATAACGAAATGATGCTTTATTTATATTCATTAAAGGTCAGTTTGTTGCTAATTATGAACTGATTAATTATAAAGGTAGTATTCAAAAATGCATGCACATATACATTTTAACGAAATGTACGTATTTTTTTGCTGGAACAGAAAGAATTTTCAATAAGTTATCTAATAATGATAATTATATAATTTTATTATAGAAGAAAAAAAAAAAGTGCTTTAAAGTCTTATAATCGCTTTACTGCACACAAAATTGCTCATATCTAATTATCTTTGACCAAAGAATTGATTTGATGATTAGGATCTTTGCACCAGAAAAGGCATATATTAATATTATTTGATTAAACGCTGTTTAAATTTAAGCTTTTGAATTATAAAAATACATTGGCTATTGTGGAGAATGCCTCTTAAAAATAATAACGATAATTATAACGATAAGACTTGTAAAAATCATAATTACCCGTATTATCACTGCATGAAATGAATTCCAAAGATATAGCGATAGGCACTGACAATAGAGATCACGCGCCACGTTAATCCTGATACTGGCACATGTACATACACATGACGCATGATAATTCCTTTTAAGGGGCTCGTCTAAAGCGGGGGCAAATCACGTGAATCAATAATGATTGGTTAGAACATACGAATGATGATTAGCCAG